CAGGACAAACAACATGGCAGGAAGAGGAAAAAATATTCATAACTGAAACTGTTAAAAGAGTAAAACTCTATTCTCATGATACAGTGGACTGTAAACTAACTTTGTATTAATTAAACTCAGTGTAATGGCATTTTCTATATTGAAATGAATAACCAGTGATCTGGAAATTCATTAGACCATTAGGTTAATTACAGAAACTGATGAAAGTTTTATCAGACAATTACAATTAAAGAACAGGAACAATGTGGGACAGATTTATAAGTATTTGCACCACCTCAATTGTTTTTGCTGAATTCCACCAACACTTCTTACAAAATTGCGATCAATATATCAGCTTAAAAATGGCTGATCATTTGCCCTTGAATACGATAAAATAAAATTAATTAATATCTGATTTCTGCCTTAAAAAACCCAACTATCACCCTCTTGCAATATGAAATATTTCTTTTCCATAAAAATGAAAATGTATGGAAAAAAAACATCTATACCTTGGAGCTGATAAGCATGCTTAGTGAATATGGAACAGCTCTAACATTGAGGAAATGTACATCAAAATTGACATAGTTTGAAATGTACCCACTGAAGTCAAGGCAAAATTCTCTTTTATGGACAAAACATTTGGGAAATACTGGCATTCATCTGCATAACATTCTGAATAACACTAGTAAAATAACATTTTACTATTTTACCATAGCTGTCAGCTATTTAGTCCAGTAAACTGTCCCTTTAACACATGCTCAGAGAAATTGTCTAGTAGTTACATACCTGACAGCTCAAGTATCTTTGTTTTAACTTGGAACTAAAATAACTGGGGACTTGATTTTTGTCTTTTATGATTTCAGACAGTGAAAAATATTTTTAATATTGCCTTGGAACTTCAATGAAAATTTGTACTCTCCCAAGGCCTTCCATGGGACCTGGGCATGCCCAGCTGTACATTTTTGACAGAAGGGATGCTCAGCTATTGGCCACCTTCCTCGCTCCACCAGCGAGTGCTCAGCAAGCCCCAGAACGTCCACTGAAATCCAGAAGACAAAGAAGTTTTCCCCTGGCAGGTGCACGTCCTTTTCCATCCCCTGCCATGAAGGGGCAGGGGGGATTATCAAGAATATAGAGCCAGGCTCTTCACAGAGGCACACGCTGGGAAGACAGGAGACAACAAACATAACTTGAAAGAAGAGAGATTTCCACTATCAGGACATTCCAGCACTGGAACAGATGACCCAGAAACACTGTGCAATCTCCATCCTTAACGGTGCCGTGGTGCAGCCTGGTCCTCCTGGCCAGAATTACTGTATGATTCAATGATTTCATGTCTTCTTTCTTTCCCATGCTTTGGCTCTCATTAGCTTCTAGTTTTGTTCACATTTTCAGGCACTTCTACATCACAGGAAAATGAGGAAAAGAGGCACTAAACAGTTTTTACAAGTCCTTGTATAAATTCAGATTATTTGCCTTTTTTAAACCATACATACCTAGTTACATTACTGTCCTTTGTAGAACAGTGATACAGACATTCAGTGACAGAATTTTATCTTCTTTTGAATCTTCCTTTTGTCTAGAAGAGTCTTAATATTCTCACGAATCCTATCCTTGAGTGGCTTCAATTTGGAAAAGTTCCTAAATTTTTCTTGATACATTTCTTAACAGTAGATAGAAATATCTTCAGGATTTTAAAATTTCCTGTGGAAGTAACTAGTCTAAAGAAGTGACGGCAATAAGAGACCATCAGTTACGTGTAGCCAACCTGTTCAATTTATTAAGCTTCAGTGAGATATTGTGGGCCTCCAGGAAGGTTCCAGCAACTGTTTGCTTATTTTCTGGGACTTGGTGTACTTTACTCTTTAAGTTCTGCATTATGATAATGATGAAGGATTTAACTGCAATCAGTTGTATTAGTTCTGTCCAATACTATGGGACTCTACAGCAGCCAAGATGAGACCATGAGCTTCCCTACTTTTCCTGCCTCAATAAGGCAAAGAATCTGTCCCACTAAGGGATGGAAACCCATTTGCATGCTGAATCTATGCTTTCCACATAACAAATTATCTATTCCCAGAATGGATGTACAAATGACAAACTGATCCAGGTCCCATCTTCTGCTTCAGCATAAGAGCACAGATGAGGCACGAGAGACTATTGCTACTGATTTGTTCCACTGCTTGCAGAAGAAACAGCTCATTTCTTTCTGTATTATGCGAAGGGCCAGAAGTGATGGAAGGAAGCACAGCCATGTTTCCAACTCTCGACATATTCTGTGGTGTAACTAATCACTGTACTGGGAAATGTACAATGTGATACATAAAATGCATTCTTGGGAAACAAAACATCAGAAGAGAAAGGGCAGCTCCAAGAAATGTACTCTTCTTTCTCGCTAGCCAAAAAATGGGGTTAAGATGTTCAGAGTCATCAGTGGCTACTAATGACTAGTACAATTAAAGCTTAAAAAGTTAATTGAGAAATAAAGCTAGTCAAATTAAGAAAAGCATATTTTACAACTATATTTCCGCCCTTCATTCCTTATACAATATAACTCAGGAGCAAAAGATGAACAGTCACGTTAAAAACAACTTTTCTAAAACTGGGGACTACTCTCTCTTTCAGATTAGGAATCTGAAAACTCCTAAATGCCACTAGTATTTAATGAACTCCAAACTTGTCAGTTTAAAAAAATCTCAGCTGCCTCTTTCC